CTTACAACTACAGTACTAACAGTTACCTCGTGCAAAGTCTCCGATTGTTATCTCCAAATACTAGTCTTTATAAATAGCTTCAACTGTTATCTCCAACTACTAGTCTTTATAAATAGCTTCAAATATCTCAAAATACTTCATATATCTCAAAATTTTATCTTTATAACTATTCTCAAAAACCTAATCACTAAACAACTAAATATAGTCTTTCTATACCTATGATGTCTCTGATAACATTGTCAACACACACACACACACACACACACACACACACACACAGTCTCCACCACCTCCTCTCCACACACACACATGGCATTTTTAACAGTCGGTACACGTGTTCGAGAGAGTGCCATGAGTAGCGGCATAATTAATGGTGTTTGGTGGCAGTGTGGCAGCCTAGTGGGAGCGACAACCAACGTGCGGGGAGTTTTTAGCAAGGTGGTTAGGTTAGGTTATGATAGTGCTGGTAGTGTGGAAACTCCTGTTATGATGTCGTGTGTCTGAGAGAGAGAGAGAGAGAGAGAGAGAGAGAGAGAGAGAGAGAGCTAAAATACGTTACATGTGCATCTCTCTCTCTCTCTCATATATATATATATATATATATGAGTCAGGGACACAGGTGTGGGCGGTCACTACACATCTGTCGATATTTTTAATACCAGCAAAGCGACAGTAATCAGTCTATACTGTCAATGGAATTCAATATATAAAAGGAATTTGACATCAGTGAATAGAGAAAATCTATTCCTGTCAGAGCGTGGATGTTTTGTGGGTGTTCTAGTGGCGTGGGGGCAGCGTTCATAATGGCCACCACTCAGCACATGTGTCTAGTCGTGTTATATTGGAGTAATATTTCTACATGTTTCCCAGATGTGCTAAAAAGAAGTATTTATTTGCCTTATTCGCTGTGATCCCATACGTACAGTTGGGTACATATCTGACTAGTACACTCAACGTTGTCAATCCACCCTTTTGCGTGAAGTGTGAACCCCAAGAGTATATTGACTTGTGAATCCGAAGCCTCTAAATTACTCGGTGAGACGTGAGGTGCATACAGTAACCTGGGACCAGAATGCTATAATTTGACTCGATCACCCGTAGATTACGTGAAAGTTGCATAAAAATAAATAAATATCCATAGAATCGCTCAGACCTGTAGCAAAAGCTGGGAATACCATCCTAATGTGCAGTAACACATCCTAAGCATAATTGTTGTTTTGCTCTAAGTTTTTATATTATTGTTTAATAAATACTGCGTTGTAACTGCACAAGTAACTCCTTAACCCTCCTCCATCCCTTTAGCCACGAACACCCTTGCCCTCCTCAGCCCCCTTAACCCGGCCTCCCCCCCTCGTGAATGTTGCAGATCAACGAGTCAGTTCACCCTCACGGAGAGCAGAGATTAAAAAAAAGAGCCTACTAATCGGAAATGTTCCCAACTGTCCGGACATATGTGTGTGTGTGTGTGTGTGTGTGTGTGTGTGTGTGTGTGTGTGTGTGTGTGTCTGCATTTCAAAAGTGAACATCGTTCACAACTCGCACTTTCAATCTTCTCTTAAAAGTTACAATCAACATCAAGGAGAGTTCATCCCCCCACCCCCCACCATCGTAGCGACAGTCAATACAGGAAAACTAATCTCAAGTTTAAAGCCACAGTAATATGTCGACGCCGGGACACTAAGTAAAGGGATCACAGCAACAGATTTCTATTTACATTAAATAATAACTCACAAGGACGAACGCATAACATTTCCCCGATGTATAATATGGCCGGAGCTCCCAGCGCCGGTGACGTCATACTGACCACACAGATAAATCACTTACTACATAATTAAACTTTCAATAGATTCTTATACACTTAATGACTACAGTAATACAGAACCTGAGGCCCTTTAAGATTAATTTACATCGTGTGGAGGGCCATGGTCTCCAACCCTCAGACTGTTACCAAGTTCGTATAAAGTTGATGCATTCTCCCGCGTCCATCTAATTAGTAAGAAGTAAAGAACATGTAAATAATGATCTTATGTGGCGCTATTGACAACAACTTAACTGATTTATTCTTTGTAGAGTAAAGGTCAACGAAGCAACATTTGGAGATTATGAAGACGCAGCATTGCATAGTTGGTCTAACAGGTCTTCAGTACTATGTTATGTTATACAGAACTAAGAGGTCTTGATATTGTTTACGTTTTGTGGCAAAGATAACTTCTAAACGGCCAAACATTTGATAAGTTTTTATACCCCCATTCACTTCCCTCTCGCAGTATTCGAAAAACCTTATCCCCGATATTAGGATATATTTTCCAAGCAGGATATTCAGATTGCTTACTTAATTCTTCCTTCCAAATCCACGAGAAACCGATTCTTATTACCCTAGTATTTTTTTTTCCCCGCGGCGGAGACCCCAGAAAATACATCAACCTTATGTTAACCTCATCTTAAGAGTGATCAATAAACCAGGTGCCTTCAATAACCAGGTAAGAGAACTTGTCTTCGCCTCACGAGTTGTCTCAAACAGTGTAGTGAATTTTATATTTAAAAAAGAAAAAAAAAATAGCGGATATATGTAAGGAAAAGAAACAGTCAGGTGACCAGTCCTCGTCTCTGAAAGGAAACTTCAGAATTGGGGGGAAAAATCTATCGGGACTCACAAGAAGTGGAAATCTTTGTTTATTGTACGAGATTAAAGTCCTTAAACTCGTCGAATAGCACTTTTATACCCAGACTCACTCTTTCAGTTTGGAGGAAAGAAAGAAAGAAAGGTCTTAGCCCTAGCCTGTGAGATTAAGGTCTTAAGTCCACGGTAGGGCACCTCTCTCTCTCTCTCTCTCTCTCTCTCTCTCTCTCTCTCTCTCTCTCTCTCTCTCTCTCAATTTTGCCAAGACCAAGCCCTGGGGGAGTGTGGATCTTTTGTCCCTCTTTTGTGTGGCCAAATTGGTTCCATTTTACGAGGCAGGTCACCCTACATTTAAGCCAGATTGATATCTTGAGCGCCGCCATAGTCACGTGTGTGTAAACCTCAATGGCGCCTCCACCCTCCTGATGACGCCTGATAACACCGCCGCTCACCCTAACCACCCTTGGTATTTTCTAGACAACAGAGGGTCCTAGAGTAATGGTATAATGACCGTAGGGTGTAGCATAATGCGGGATTGTGGTATGATGAGGGAATACACTATAGGTAAAATAAAAGCATACATTAGGGCCAGTGTGGGAATATAATACACGGGGTGTCTCCCTAAGTGTACACGAGCAGCTAAACCTCACATACTGACGTAATATCGTTGGAGTTCCCCCTAAAAATAATAATACTGTAATAATAATAATAATAATAATAATAATCATAATAATAATAATAATAATAATAATAATCATAATAATAATAATAATAATAATAATAATAATAATAATAAATAAATAAATAAATAAAAAACATTATCAAATTCATATCCAAACAGACGAGAGATCTTGATATTACTACAATTAATTGAGGTGATTAAGTAAGAGAGGGACCTGCCACCCCTACACCCAGGCCATAACACTGCCCCTTCACTGCTCTCCTATGATGAAGCTTTACTATATACAACAAGGCGAGTGCAGTATTTATATCTTCATGTTTTCCTTCGTAATTCCTCACTTTTTCGGAGGCCAGGAGTGTTAAGGTGTAGTACAGGAGTGTGATAGAGTGCGAGAGCGTGATAGAGAGTGTGTTGGAAGGTGGTAGTGTGTGGTGGGGGTGTGGTAGAAGGGAAACTATAGTGTAGAATGAATGTGGCAGGGTAGTGTTGGATAGTTTGTTTGGAGTACGAGAGAATGTAATGAAATAAAGAGAGAAATGGGAAAGTGAGAAAGAATAAAGTATGAGGGAAAAAAGAGAGATAACATACTCTCTCTCTTTTTCTTCTTCATCTCGTCTCTCTCTCAACCCAGTTACCTTTCTCTCCCACCTTTCTCTCATTCCACACTCTTATATCTCTCCCTTCTCCACCACCTCTTATCAGCAATCCCTCTCTCTTTCATTCGCTCACCCACTCTTTATCTCTCTATCTCTCTCTCTATTTCTCTCCCTCTCTCATGATCATTATCGTCCTCACAACCAAGGGCGGGGGTTGAGTGGGGTGGGAGAGACGGAGGGAGAGGGCGCCTGTGTTTGTGTTGTGATGCGGAGATAACATGAGTGGTCTTGTTCCCTGTATATATGTATGTGTGTGTGTGTGTGTGTGTGTGTGTGTGTGCTGCCTCGACTCCCTGTCTCGTCACGCCTGCCTGCCCTGCCTCGCCACGTTTCCCTGCCCTGCCACGCTTCCCTGCCCCGCCATGCCTCCCTGCCCTGCCATGCCTTCCTGCCCTGCCACGCATCCCTGCCCCACTCCCATGGCGCCTCCCCGCCACGCCACGCTTCCCTGCCCTGCCATGCCTTCCTATCCCGCCACCCCTCCCCCCGCCACTGGACGCCCCTGCATCACCCTGATAAGCTTTTTCAATCTTCTTTTTTTTCGTCTAATACCTTGAGATAATTATTTACATGTTTATTTTCTCCTTAATATTTCATTTTACCTTTAACTCATAAATTGCCTCTCCAGAAAGTTGATTTTATTCTCACACCTGGATGATAACACCTGCTTTAAACACATTTCCCCAGAGAAGTGAGAGCTTTGTAATAGGTTGGTGCGTCAGTAGGTCCACGTCCGTCAGTCAGTCAGTCAGTAAGTCAATAAGTCAGTTAATCAGTCTTGTACGGAAAACAAATATTTGACAGATGTACGAACCAAAGTTTAGTTCGTTTTCACTAACTAAAATAAATGAGAGAGAGAGAGAGAGAGAGAGAGAGAGAGAGAGAGAGAGAGAGAGAGAGAGAGAGAGAGAGAGAGAGAGAGAGAGACATTACACACACACACTTGTCTTGACCTGGGAGACTGCAGTGAAGAGTCAGACAATTACACTAACTTGGCAGTGGGAGTATGAGGTGACCACTCGGGGGCCCCTAAGAGTCCCTGATGCCGACTGATATGACCAACAACTTAAGACAAACATCAAGGACAAACACCAAGGACAAACATCAAGGACAAACATCAAGGACAAACACCAAGGACAAATACCAAGGACACACACCAAGGACAAACACCAAGGACACACACCAAGGACACACACCAAGGACAAACATCAAGGACAAACACCAAGGACAAACATCAAGGACACACACCAAGGACAAACATCAAGGACAAACACCAAGGACAAACATCAAGGACAAACACCAAGGACAAACATCAAGGACAAACACCAAGGACAAACATCAAGGACAAACATCAAGGACAAACACCAAGGACAAACATCAAGGACAAACACCAAGGACAAACATCAAGGACAAACATCAAGGACACACACCAAGGACAAACATCAAGGACAAACATCAAGGACAAACACCAAGGACAAACATCAAGGACAAACAACAAGGACAAACACCAAGGACAAACATCAAGGACAAAACACTAAGGACAAAACATCAAGGACAAAACACCAAGGACAAACATCAAGGACAAACATCAAGGACAAAACACACTAAGGACAAACATCAAGGACAAAACATCACGACACACACACCAAGGACAAACATCAAGGACACACACCAAGGACAAACATCAAGGACAAACATCAAGGACACACACCAAGGACAAAAACATCAAGGACACACAATACCAAGGACAAACATCAAGGACACACACCAAGGACAAACATCAAGGACAAACACCAAGGACAAACATCAAGGACAAACACCAAGGACAAACATCAAGGACAAACATCAAGGACAAACACCAAGGACAAACATCAAGGACACACACCAAGGACAAACATCAAGGACAAACACCAAGGACACACACCAAGGACAAACATCAAGGACAAACACCAAGGACAAACATCAAGGACAAACATCAAGGACTGTTCCCGTGTTACAAAGGTGTAACTGAGAGGAAAAGGTGGTGATCTTGGCCAAATTGTAGGTCATCAGCCATTATCAGTCATCATCAGCCATTATCAGCCATTATCAGTAATCATCAACCGAACACCGTGACCAGGTCTATCTCCACCATACCCTGTACAGTGCGCTACCAAGGAGAACCATCCATTAACCATCCATCAACCATCGTCAACTATCCTGAACCACCATAAACCATCCACCAACCATCCATCAACCATCTATCAAAAATCAGCAACCATCCATCAACCATCATCAACCCACCTCAACCACCATCAATCATCCATTATCTATCCTGAACCATCATAAACAATTCTGAACCACCCATCATCAACCATCCTCAACCACCTATCATCAACCATCGCCAAACTTCCATCAACAATCATCAATCACCCACCAACCATAATCAACCATCCATCAACAATCGTAAACTATCTTGAACCATCATAAACCACCCATCAACTATCCTGAACCACCATCAACCATCCATCAACCACTTTCTGATTAAAAACAATTCTTAAGGAGCAACGACCTGAAGAATAATGATGATGATGATGATGAATAATGATGATGATGATGATGATGATGATGATGGTCTTCCTCTGTGATATACCCAATTAGTAATCTCAGCCAAAAGTGTAAATAAACAGTGTAAATAATACCCTCGGTCAAATGTAAATAACCAGTGTAATTATATACAACCATAAGTGTAAATATGCAGTGAAATTAATACCTACAACCAAAAGTGTAAATAAACAGTGTAAATACTTAGTCAAATGTAAATAAACAGTGTAATTATATGCAACCATAAGTGTAAATAAACAGCGTAATTAATACTACAATAATATACATAAAAATGGTGTTATGTGAGACAACATATGTAGTCTATGTTGTGAGCCTCATGACGCCCATTACTGACCAGCAATAACAGAAAGCTTTAATGTATGAAAAACAAAAAATAAAAGCCCTAACACATACATAAATATAGTGTAAATACAAGTCATTACAAAGAGTGAAAATAAAATCCTTTATATGAATAATTAAAAGAAAAGTTAAACCTTAAAAAAAACTCAAACAAAAATCTTTCTTAAAAACTAAAACTTAAAATAAAACTCCCCCAAAAATAGTGGACATAAAAACTCCAAAAATAAAAACGGAAATAAAACCCCCAATAAATAATAATAACAAAAAAACTAAAACTAAAACAAAATAAAATAAATGCACAAAAACAATGAAGATAAAAACCCAAATAAAATAAAATGAAATAAAGCGAGAGCGAGAACCACCAACCTCTCTCTCAAGACGGTGGTTCATAATCCCTGGAGGAGCACAGTCATTCTTATCATCCCTTTCGAGTTATAGCTTAAACCAACGTCCTTACGGGGTTACATAGCTTAAACCAACGTCCTTACGGGGTTACATAGCTTAAACCAACGTCCTTACAGGGTTACATAGCTTAAACCAACGTCCTTACGGGGTTACATAGCTTAAACCAACGTCCTTACGGGGTTACATAGCTTAAACCAACGTCCTTACAGGGTTACATAGCTTAAACCAACGTCCTTACGGGGTTACATAGCTTAAACCATTGTCCTTACGGGGTTACATAGCTTAAACCAACGTCCTTACGGGGTTACATAGCTTAAACCAACGTCCTTACGGGGTTACATAGCTTAAACCATCGTCCTTACGGGGTTACATAGCTTAAACCAACGTCCTTACGGGGTTACATAGCTTAAACCAACGTCCTTACGGGGTTACATAGCTTAAACCAACGTCCTTACGGGGTTACATAGCTTAAACCATCGTCTTCAAAGGGTTATAGTTTAAACCATAGTCTTTAGAGGGTTGAAACGTAAACCATCGTCTTCAAAGGGTTATAGTTTAAACCATAGTCTTTAAAGGGTTATAGTTTGAACCATAGTCTTTAAAGGGCTATAGTTTAAACCACAGTCTTTAAAGGGTTGAAACCTAAACCATCGTCTTCAAAGGGTTAATTATATACCTTAAAACCTACATTATCGATGCTATTGTATTAATTTAGGTATTAACATTAAGGTAAGGCATTCCCTCCGTTAATAGGACCAGTGAGTCCATTCAGGGTGATCGAGTACCATTAGATTAATCGAACCGTATTTCACCCCTATTGTCATCATCAACACAAACACTATTGATTCGTTTTAATGGGATTTGGCTCAGAGTGACTCCATGATCATTATTATTCTAAGATCAAAATTTTCACTCAATATAAGGAATTTTAGAACGGAAATTATGCCATAGTAAAGCAGATCTCCCAGACTCTTTTGGTCCCTTCAATCTCAAGTGAATGGGACATAGAGAGGTAGTGTTCAGAGGGCCGTGTGGGGGGGTGAGGGACCAGGGTATGTCGGGATGGTTGAGAGCTGGGATTTCTTCTGGGGGACGACGCTACATTATTTATATCTATTCAGTTATTATTATTATTATTATTATTATTATTATATATTCGTTATTATTATATAGTTATTTATCTCGAATCACCATCTAATTTTAATGTCGGTTTGGTTATATGGAAGGGGAAACAGAGAGGGGGAACATTCCGCCATTTTTAATTAGGAGATCTATTTAAAATCCCCCGACTTTTTCCCTCCTCCTCCTCCTACATGATCAAAATATAGAACCTACCCTAACCTACCCAGCCCTTCACCCTTCCTATCCCTAATTTATTCCCCTTTCGTCCTTCCTCCTCGTCCCTTATCCTATTTTTCACCATCCTCTTCCACCCTTCCCTGTATTTCCTCCCTTCCTCACTCCATCACCTGATTACTACCGGGGAACACGTGTATACTATGGGTAGGGGGGCACAGTATACAAGGAGGAGGTGGAGGTAAATATCATGGGTTATATCTGGAGGTGATATACGTGGAGGGAGTGACATGAAGGGGGTAGGGGGGATGATACCCAAAATGGTCGAACCTGGTCGCCTAGTACAGTCGTAAAATAATGTTAGTGGCATACCTAATTCCTTGGACACTTCTTGCAGTATCTGGTATAACCCTTGTCTGAGGGTTATGTAGGTAAGGGCGTTTTAACATTATTTACTGAGATTTGTCTTCCTGTTATAGACTTGTTTCTTCATGTTATTCTGAATTACGTTATGATGGTAAGCCGAGTTCACCATCTAATGAACCAATCACATATTAAACTCACAAGTGATATCGAGGCTACCATTATCCATGAACAACTACGTTGGACTGGCTATGTTACCCGCATGGGCGACAGTAGACTGCCAAAGCAACTATTTTACAGTCACCTAACGAATGGTAAACATAACGCTGACGGGCAACGGAAACGGTATAAGGATAGTCTTAAGACAAACATGAAAAAGTACCAAATCGACCCCCTCACCTGGGAGACGATTTTTCCACACCGTGACGCTTGGAGGAGCACCACACGAGAAGGTGTCAATTTAGCCCGACTGCAAACCGAAGCAGACAAGCGCCATCGACGGAAAGACACTGCCGACGCCCTTCCCGCACTAGATGTTGCCCTCCACAAGTGCTACATCTGTGGACGACCCTGCCGGTCCCGTATCGGCCTCTCTAGTCACCTCAGAGCTCACCAACCTTGATGAAATCCTTAATAACTCATATCATTGTATCACAGCTGGATGATCGTCATAATCGAATCCGAGTGACAACAAAGTGATAGTAGTAGTAGAGAGAGAGAGTGTGTGTGTGTGGCACAGGGGGAGGCAGCAAGCACAAAGTCACCACCACGCCCACACGCCCATCAGGTGATGACGTTGTTGCACCATTTACACTCACGGTCGACCCGCTTCAAAACACTCAACTGGAATTTTAATTAAAAATACTGTGTTTGTTTGTTCGTTTGTTTGTTTGTTTGTTTACATGCATGTGTGTTTGTGAGTGTACATTTAATAAAAAAATCGAACGGCTTTGCCGTGTCAAGGGATTTCACTGGTAAACTGAACTACATTGCAAAATGTAACGCCCTGGAGCAGCTTAATGCACAAGGTTGGTGTACTGTCCAAGAGTTTAACAATTCGTAGAGGCAACCTGTATTGGTTGTGACTAATGACAAGTTTCACACTGGCAGTGATTTACAACAGAGCTCCTGAACCTGACACGGAGATAAAAGCTGTGACCAAAGATTAATTCTTAAAGATTCGTGTGCTGAATTTTCATAACAAAACACACACACACACACAGTCGAAAACGCCCTCAAAATGACACTGAGCCTCCAGGTAACGCTCACCTGGCACCAGCTGGCAGATAATATTAACCTGTACTAAATCTTACTGAAGCGGGATCCCGGCTTTCCTAGCTTCTCCTTCACAACAATAAGAGAATAATTGGTGAAGCTTACAATCCCTGGCTGACACTGTTAATAACAATTGCTGTTTGGCTGTTTCCACCTGATGCTCTCTCTTGTGTGTGTGTGTAACAACCCTCGGTGTGCAGAACTCGGGCTGTAAGAAGCTTTTATACTCTATGATTTGTATTTGCGAGCTCAAAATGTAACATAAATTTACACACACACACACACACACACACACACACACACACACACACACACACACACACACACACACACACACACACACACACACACACACACACACACACACACACACACACACACACACACACACACACACACACACACACACACAGGGGACCACTGTGCTTCCTCATCCTGATCAACGACGCTCTATCGGACACTCCTCACAGGTGGAAGTACGTGGATGACTGCACTGTGGGGGTTACAGTGGACAACACCGCACCAGACTACTCATCGCTACAAGGCACCCTGGACAGGCTACAGGCATGGGCTACGGAGAACAAGGTCACCATCAACCACACCAAAACCGTAGTCATGTACATCAATACCGCCACTACTCCAGTGCAAGCTCCAGCAGTTACAGTGGGTGCCCATCCTCTCCAGTTAGTGCAATCTGCCAAACTCCTGGGTGTAACGATAGACCACAAA